ACTTGTTGGCAATGGGTTTGGTTTTGGGCCAGGCTAGATAGTCTATCTTAACAATGCAATTTATAGTGGGGGGACTTGGGCCATGCAATATCAGCTCAACCTCAGGAGGGTCTGGAGACTAAAATCAACCATGTGGGTGATCAACCATGTCTCCATGACTAAGTCTAAATAAAAACTCTAGACACCATATCTTCCCTGGTTGGCATTACTTATGTGTACTGTCACACATTTTTGTTGGGAGAAGTTAACACTGTCTACAACTCCACAGGGAGAGGACAACTGGAAGGTTTGCATTTGGAACTCTCCTAAACTCCACCCCATGTTCCTGTTTCTTTGGCTGATTTTAATCTGTATCCTTTTGCTGTAATAAACCATAACACCCACTGCTGCCAACTCTATTGGAGCCCTGGTGGCACAGTGGTTAAGAGCTCAGGCTGCTAACCAAAGGGGTGGCAGTTCGAATCCACCAGCTGCTCCTTGGAAACCCTATGGGGCAATTAAAATATGTCCTATATGGTCACTATGAGTTGGAATCAACTCGACAGCAATGGGATTGGGTTTTTTGTTTGTTTGTTTTAACAGTATAACAAGGAGTTCTGTCCTTCTAGCAAATTATTGAAACTGAGCGGGGTCTTGGGGTCTCCCAAACTTCTCACCACCTCACCTGCGTTTCTCAGTACAGGAAGTTTTAAGCATGAAACTAAAAATGCTCCCCAGGTCTCACAAAGTGGGCCAGTGTAGAGATGCCCCAGTGTGCTCCTACTACCACCCCTTGTGGTTACCCTCTGCCATGGGACAAGTCCAATTCCTAGGCAAGACCCTCCCAGGCTCAACCACCAGGTTCTCTCTGCACTGAGGAGCCTTTGGCATCCTGCCAAAGTCTTTGGCAGCTTTTGCCCAGCCGGCCCAGTGCCACTGCTTCTCCCAGGGCTACCTCTGGGCTGCTTGGCACCTGCTGATCTGAGTCCTGGTGTGCTGTCATCTTCCTCTAGAAAAGGGTTGGGTCATGCCACTGTGTCCCTGCAACTGGCACGTGCTAGGCATAGCAGCAGCCAATTTGTGATCCAGAGCTTGGTTAGAAAAACAGGAGCAGCTACACTACAGCGTTAAGATATGTCAAGAAGTGCCCTGCTTAAACCAAAGCTAAGAAGTTTCCTGAATACAATCAAACACTTCAAAGGACAGAGTAGCAGAGGCGGGGATCTGGGGACCATGCTTTCAGGGGACATCTAGGTCAATTGGCATGACAAAGTTTATTAAAAGTTCTGCATCCTACTAAGGCGAGTGGTGTCTGGGGTCTTAAAAGCTTGCAAGGAGACATCTAAGATCAATTGGTCCCAACCACCTGCAGTAAAGGAGAATAGAGAACACCAAAGACACAAGGAAAGTATTAGCCCAAGAGA